ATACATAATCCTCCATTCCAAAAGTCAGGTTTAAAAGAGAGAAAACAAATGGATCCCTGCTGTACTTTACTTTTTTGAACTTTATAAGATGAAACTTCACAAAACAGGTACCAAAAACACTGCACTTGGCTTGCTAACTGTAACTTTTTGTTCTTATTCTGCAGCTAACCTCTGCTGCAGCTCATGCCTTCTCTAAGCTCATCAGCGCCCCCTGCTGTTCCTCTAGCCTGAAAACCTCCCCTCGTGTCTTTTCTCAGCCGTTTCAGCTCACAGAGCACGTTACACAAACACATATCTATAGAATAAACATCATCTGAACTGTTGAGTGTCAGGTGTAAAATAAATAATATCAGAAACATTTTACTGGCGACACATTTTCTGCTCTCACTACATAACATGCAGGAGAGATTGCGCAATCCAAGTGGAGGCAGAATGGTGGGGTTGAAACGACTGCACAATCTGGAGGCCGAACTTGATTTTTCCTCGTCTGTCTCGTCCTGTATTTGAACAAGATATGAGGAAATTCAGCGATTTTGAATAAAGAAAAATATTAAAATGTGTTTAAGTTAAATTGAAAATGTGTTTATAGTACAAAGCATTATATAAATATGACAGTTTAACCTACGAATCGCTGAGCCAGCAGAAGGAAACGTTTATGGTGCTACTCCAACAACAACAACAACAAGATAACTTCAGAGGCTTTGTTAAAATTATAATGGAAACTACAAATTCCAGAATGGATGAGCTGTCACGAGAAGTGCAGGACATTAAAASCAGCCTGCAGTTTACGCAGAAAGATGTGGATGACATTAAAGCTCAAAATGTCAAACACGGCGAGAGCTGWAACTCGTTGCAATCGGATGTCTTTAAAGTTTGTGATAGCATGTTAGCTATCACTGACAAGATGGAGTACCTGGAGGGACAATCCAGGAGAAACAATCTGGTCATTGATGGAGTTACTGAGTCGCCAAATGAAACTTGGGCTGAGACGGAGGAAAAAGTAAACACCCTTCTGACTGAGCATGAAAGTTACAGAAGATTGAGATGGAAAGGGTTTATCGTACTGGAAAACCTGGAGGAGATAGACCCAGACCGATTGTTGTCGGTTTCCTGAAGCTCAAGGATAGAT